TAGTCTGCAGGCAGAGGCAGATCTCTGGGGGCTTTGAGTCTTTACCAGATCTACTTAGTCAGAAACAGCTAACTGTCTTTCACTAGAGATTGGAAGGCATAGCAGATCTACCTATTACAGCCGTGGGCAAACTACGGCCCGCGGGCCGGATCCGGCCCGTTTGAAATGAATAAAACTAAAAAAAAAAAAAAAAAGACCGTACCCTTTTATGTAATGATGTTTACTTTGAATTTATATTAGTTCACACAAACACTCCATCCATGCTTTTGTTCCGGCCCTCCGGTCCAGTTTAAGAACCCATTGTGGCCCTCGAGTCAAAAAGTTTGCCCACCCCTGACCTATTACATAGTCACAAACCCAAACAGGCATCCAAAATGGGGAGACCAAAAAACAACCCCCAAATGAAAGAACAAGATAATTCTCCAGAAGAAGAGATGAATGAAATGGAGATAAGAAGTTTATCTGACATAGTGTTCAGAATAATGATGGTAAAGATACTCAACAGCACAAGAAAACATACAGTAACTATGAAAAAAAGAACAGTCAGAAATAAAGAATGACACAGCACTAAGAACACATTGGAAGGAATACACAGCAGATTAGGGGAAGCTGAGAATCAAATCAGTAAATTAGAAGACAAGGTTGAAAAAAATCACTCAATCAGAGAACCAAAAAGAAAAAAAAACTATCAAAAAACAGGAGAACAGCTTAAGGGAGCTGTGGGACAACATGAAACGTAACAATATTCTCATAATAGGTGTGACAGAAGAGGAAGAAAGTGAGCAAGGGATAGCGAACATGTTTGAAGAAATAATGGCAGAAAACTCCCTAACCTGGTGAAGGAAAAAGTCACCCAAGTTCAGGAAGCACAGAAATTCCCAAGCAAGAAGAACACAAACAGGCCCATGCCCAGACATATCATAATAAAAATGCCAAAAATTAAAGACAAAGAGAGAATCTTAAAGTCAGCAAGAGAAAAGCAATTTGTTTCCTACAAAGGAGCTCCCATAAGGCTGTCAGCTGATTTCTCATCAGAAACTCTATAGGCCAGAAAAGAATAGCAAGAAGTACTCAAGGTAATGAAAAGCAAGGATCTGAAACCAATATTACTATATCCAGCAAGGCTATCATTCAAAATAGGTGGTGAAATAAAGAGCTTTCCAGACAAAAAAAAAAAAAAAGGCTAAAGGAGTTTATTACCACGAAGCCAGAATTGCAAGAAATGGTCGGGGGACTGCTGTAATGAGAAGAAGAAATAGAGAGAAACTTTTAACTGGCTTTTTAAAAAGCAATGCTTTTGTTGATTTTTAGAGATATAGATAGAAACACCAATGAGCAAGAAACATTGATTGACTGCCTCCTGCAAGGACCCAACTGGGGACGAAGCCTGCAACCTGAAACTCTGGCACGTGCCCTGACTGGGAATCAAACTGTCTACCTCTTGGTGCATGGGTCGATGCTCAACCACTTAACCACACAGGCTGGGCTTAACTGGCTTTTAAAAGTCCAAATTTTAAAATAGCCTATGATATAATATATCCACCGCAAAAAAATGAGTACTAGTAACCTACCAGGTAAACTAGTGGTTTCCCAGCAGTGTTACCTGTACACACTCCATGAAGGCCCCTTTGGGATGTCGCAGGAGGTCTAAGAGAGGTCAACCAGGCATGTTCCATGGGGCATGAGGCCCAAGGTGCCTGACCAAACTAACCAGGGCAGCTCCCCCTTTACATGTTCTCACAGTGAGGTTCAATGTAAGTTCTGTTTGATTAAAAGTTCCTCTGTTGTGTTTTGTTTTGTTTTTTTATTATGAAAACCAGTGGACTAAGCCATTATTCCAGTTATTTCAAAGTTAAAACTCAGGATAGTAAAGGGATCTGATAATTATCATATACAGAGGTCCTGGAATAACATGGCTTCATTCAATGTCATTTCATTTCGTTATAACGTTGATGAAATGCTGTAGGAACACAACTGTTTCTATCAATTAGCCTGTGGTCAAACAAGCTTTATTATATTGTTTTGATTAAAGTCCCAGAACCAACTGACCATGGGAAGTGAGGACTGACACTGTACGTGGAGTAAATTACGATTATCTCCCTCTCTCAACAGAATATCTGAGAGGAGATCAGCATATGCTCACAATTTTACCTAACAAGAGTCAACACTGTCACAAGTAACCTGAAGAGGAGTTTTTCCAGATACAAGGTACTAGTCATCATGTAAAAATGTAACCCCTGGTAACAGCAAAGTTTCCACCAGCAACCTGAATGTTTTGCAGCCCACAGTTGCTTAATCTTTGTAACATTCCTGTTGGCTACAAAGAAAAGATGTTTCTTCTCTAGAGCAGGAAAGTGAGGTGGAGAAGATCAACAACAGGAGAGTCAATGTAGAAATCACGCTCATGCTCTTCAGGCGATGCGACTAAGCAGCCCCGATTTGAGTCCCTAGTCCAGAGGTGGGGAACGTCTGGCCCACGGGCCATATTAGGCCCACAAAATCCTTCGGTCTCACCCTGCCAAGGCATTAGGGGTGAGTTAATTAAATGTTTGACCAAATATAGTAGGCTAATTTTTAAGCTGATAATTTTGTATGGCCCGCAAATGATGTTATAAATATCCAAATGGCCCTTGGCAGAAAAAGGTCCTCCATCACTTACTCACTGATCTGGCATCTTGGCTGTTTATTAATCCTCTCAAAACTGTATCCTTTCCATAAAATGGGGGATAGCAACTGCCATGAAGTTTTTCAAAGATTAAAGAAAACGTGTATGAAGACCCTCGCAATACTTTGCACATAACCGATGCTTTAACACGTGTCTTCCCACGCACACCCCCCTGCAATAAACCATAGTGAGATGCACTTACAAATGGACTACTGTTTAGGAACAGCAAGGAAGAGTGAATTCGTTCCTTAAAGTACTAGATTCCTTTTTTAAATGAAGTTTTGACATTTAAGACCTGTCCCTGGTTTTATGGGCGCTCCACAACCCAAATCACAGGCATATTCCAACATGATCTAAACAGGTAAGACTCCCCTTTCCAAGACCAATCAGGATGGAAAAACAGCATTTGTAATATTAAAAAACACCGTTCATTATCAATTACAAATCAATTCTTAAAGCTTAAAAACCCTGTATTTATTTTAAATAATTTGTTTTGGCAATAAACTAATTTTTAACGAGTTATTTTATTCTAATTTCTTTTTTAAAAACTTAGTTTGTTTAGGCAATAAACTAATTTGTGTGACTCTAAATAAAAGAGTTAGGGAGATAAATCTGTACCTAGCATAGACTCACTACTTCATACATGTTTGTTACATGAAAGAAGGAAAAACCTGCTAATATTTTTACAGTCAAAGAACTGAAATGTTTTAAACTTTAATTTCTTCTTAATTAGAGAGTTCCACTTAGAATGCTTCTAGAAAGCAAGTGACTTATCTAAGATTATAAGAAAGGTAACAGTATCTAGGCCAAGAAGTAACTGTCATTTTAAAGCCAAATATACTTTTTATCATCTCTGAGATCCTAAAGTTTATATCTCATTTCCATGAACATGGAGAACTGATCCCTTAATAGAAAAAAAAGATAACCCCAGCCTTCTATGTACCTTTATATTCAATCAAAGGTACCAATTATTCCTAGCAATCTAGAAATCAGAGCACAGATGAAGGGGGACCCCAATATACAAACAAATGATTTGTGGGGTGATATGGGTATAATTTTTCTGGTCTTAATAATTAATAAATTGCTATAGGTATCTTTATAATAGATAAAGGGATACATAAGTTTAAATTTGTAAAATAAAGAACAAATTTATTTAAATTTAAAAATCAACATTTATTGAGTGAAAAATATGCACCAGGCCTGATCTAAGTATTTTACATGTTTTATCCTCACACATTTAATCTCTACAATAACCTTATAAGGTACAGAAAGGTCCTACAATCCCCACTTTACAAATAAAGAAACTGAGGCACAGAGAAGTTAAACAACTTGCTCAAGGTAACACAGGAGTAAAGCCCAAAAATCTGGCAGCGGAGCCCATGCTCTTAACCACCATATGATTATTTTTTAATACAATACGTTTTTAAAAAGCCCAGTAATTAGTTTTATTTAATATGTAGTTAAAGATCAATATTTATAATGGTTATTAATATTTTCAACTATTTAGCAGTATTTTATTTATGCAATATTTTAAGAATTTTATAAATAGATCACAAAAAGCAGAGGTAACATATTAAGAATACAATCTTAATGCATTTTTAGATGTGCTTCCAGTGACCATTTTAAAAGATTTAAGCAATAAAACAATTAAAAATATTAAAAAATAAAAAAATAATAAAAGATTAGAGAAACCCTATGTAGACTATGGGAATTAGTGCTGGTGAATTTACATGATGTCATTATCAGCCAGTGACCATTTTAAAAGATTTAAGCAATAAAACAATAAAAAAAATAAAAGATTAGAGAAACCCTATCTAGACTATGGGAATTAGTGCTGGTGAACTTACATGATGTCATTATCAAGTCTAACGTTATTTAGCCACATGTGGAAGAAGAAATGAGACTACTTTAGATTCTGTTGTTGTTCTGCTATTAATGCACTGTTTACATTAACAGTTATAAATGCATTTTAAAGAAAAAATTGACAAACTCACTTAATTCCAGAGAGAAAATATATGGAAACCATGATTTAAAACCAATATTAGAAGCAATGTAGAGTCACAGGCCCGATACTCGCAAAGTGATCGTCAGCCCTGGGATTCTCCTCGCACTTCGGCTACATCACCATTTGGGAAAGGAGGAGGCAGTGAAAATAACCACATTAGTAACTGGAAAAGAAAACCCAGGTCTGGCATCAGCTACATTTTTCTACCCTTGCACGCAGAATTCTGATGGTAAAGTCTATTGCCAGTACACGCTGTCAACCAAAATATTACTGAAGAACCAAGAAAAACTGCTCTTTCGCCTTTTCCACACCCGATTCTCCACTGCCTACCTGGAATCCGTGCTTGCCTCTCCACCACGTGCTCAACACTTTCGGGGGCATGTCGATCACAGAAACAATGTCGCCCACCTAGGAGAATAAAACGTAAGGGAAATGCGTTCAGTCAAATTTTAAACCAACTGTTAGGTCTCGAATTTAACCTGAACTGGAACGCAAGGGTAAAAGCACTATCTTCCTCTCTGGCTAATTTTTCTGAAAAACCATACTACCTCTTTCTGTAAAGAATTTAATAATAATTTTAACCATCTGTTAAGGAGAGGGCTACAAAAATAACGCAGCACAAAGACTGGGATAAAAAAAAAAAAATAATTTTAACCATCTGTTAAGGAGAGGGCTACAAAAAGTAACGCAGCACGAAGACTGGGATCAGGCATCACCGGAGCAGTGACTGCAGGAAGCCAGCTTGATGGCGTAAGATTTTTGAAGACTTAGGCATCACCCCATCAGCTGTTACAATCCTCTCTTACTGCTGTTACTGAAAGTGACCAAATTCACTTATAAAAGGCAGATATTCTCATAGTTAGAGCAACAGAAGCTTCTGTTAATACCACAGTGAGTGAGCGCTTGCCATGTGCCAGGCACTGTGCTGAGCACTTGGCATTATCTTACTTAATCATCGAAGACAGGCCTAAGATGTGTACAATTCCTGGGTTATTCTTAGTAAAATTTGGAAAACTACACTTTTTTCCATAGAAGGTATAATAGCTTATTCCCTCACACTAAAAAAAACAACAACAAAACTATTGTTTGCACAAACTTTTACAAAATCATTAATATAAAATGGCAATCATCATTTTTAATAACGTATTTAATGGAAGCTACATTCTTCGATCAAAGCAAGTGATGCTCTCTGTGACAGAGCAAAGTTAAGTACTGCACAGCAATGTTGCTAATGTGTCTCATGTTGCTTTAGGAATTTTTCTTTATGTATCCACAATGAATATTTTAAGTCAGGGAAGAGTCACCTTTACAAAGCCACGTTTGCTAACAGACTTGGCATCTTTCAAGATCTACATTGCTCTGGGTCTAGAACCTAAAAATTAAGTTTGAGAACAGTTCAGATTCTATACAGTAAAAATTTTTATTGACTTTCCTTAAACTGAATACTGTTAGCATTTTGGTTTTTCTCTCTCATCTGCCAATATTAAAGGAAGAAATTACTTCCCCTCCTTTTGCATCTGAAAGCAGGAAATGTTCATTTCTCTTCTCACCCATCCATTAGCTCAGTCTTTGAACAAACAATGAGAAGAAAGAAGTATCACTGGGTATCATTTTTGAGGTACTGAAAACATAAAGTAAGAAAAAAAGACTGAGACCTGGCTTTCAAGAAGCTAACAGAGACCAACAGGAGGACAGTTATGAGTGAATGGAATTGAGTGACACATCGGTGATGAACCAGGCGAATGGTTCAGAATGGCATTCAATCCACACTTGGGGGGTAAAGGAGAGCAGGAATGACTGCCTAGAGAAATGGGAGACACTAAAGTTGAAATTTTCAAAGATGAATACAGTCATTTCCGTGAAAATAAATGGCATGCCAAGCGAAACGATAATGGGGTATGAAAAACCTGGTGCTTCTCATTAAAAAATGATTAACACGGTTAAGGATGAGGCTGAGCTAACCCAGAGCAGCAACTTTAGGCATTTACCTCTAAGGTCAGTTCATCAGGGGCCCGAGCAGTGTACCTCTTGATCACATGGGCTGCACCGACAGCAGGCGTGTTGATGGATGATTCTTCGTGGACTAGAAGGTGATTGCCCTTGTTATCAATCTACAACAAAAACAAGTGCTATGAGATGGTTAAAGACATGAGACTTGCAAAAGTTTCTCTGACATTCCACTTGATTTAGGGAGACTATAACCCAAAGAATCTTTTAAAGAAAACGTATTATCATTTATTGAATACTTAATGTATGATAGTCATTGTGCTTTTCATATGACATTATGATTTAATTTAATCCTCATCACTCCAAAAGATACTAATCATCATTCTCCTTATTTAAAGATGAAGATGCTAAAGCTAAACGAGGTCATGTAACTTGCAACAGATTAAATCATTTGTCCAAGATCACACAGACAATAGTGAAAGAGCCAAGATCTCAATCCAAGCTGACGTGGCTCTAAGTTCTGCAATCTTTCTACTTCCCACCCTGCCTTCCAGTTTCCAATGGGAAAAAGAATAAATAATGTTAACTCTGCATATGCAAATTAAGAAAAAATATCTGACATAAATACTGGATATTGTATCACCCAAGACTTCTTTTTTTTTTTCTATTTTGTTTATTTATTCTGCTTTTTAGATTCTACATGTAAGGGAATTCATGTATTTGTCTTTCTCTGCCTGAGTAATTTCACATACCATAATAATTCTAGGTTCATCCATGTTGTCACAAAGGGTAAGATTTTATTCTTTTTATGGCTCAGTAACATTCCACTGTGTACATACCATCTGTCTAGCGATGGATACTTAGGTTGCTTCCAGATCTTGGCTATTATAAATAATGCTGTAATGAACATAAGGGTGCATATATCTTTTCCAATTCGTGTTAGGAATTGCGAGGTCATATTTTTAATTTAATGGCAAAGTCCTATTTTTAATTTTCCAAGGAACCTCCATACTGTTTTCCATAGTGGCTGCAACAATGTAAAATTCTATCAGCAGTGCACAAGGGGTTCCCTTTTCTCAACATCCTTGCCAACACTTGTTTCTTGATTTATTTATGATAGCCATTCTCACAGGGGTGAGGTGATATCTCATGGTTTTAATTTGCCATTTCCCTGATGATTAGGAATGTTGAGCATCTTTTCATATGTCTACTGGCCATTGTCTGTCTTTAGAGAAATGTCTATTCAGGTCCTCTGCCCATTTTGTAATTAGAGCGGTTTTTTTGTATGTGTTGTTTTCTTTTGGGGGGTTAACTTGTAGAATTGCTGATATATTTTGGATATAATGTGTTGTGTGGTAAGCAAATATATTCTTGCCACTCAGTGGGTTGTCTTTTCACTTTGTCGATTACTTCCTTCCCTGTGCAAAACTTTTTAGTTTGATATAGACCCATTTATTTTTTCTATCGTTTCCCTCACATACCCAAAAACATATTGCTAAGAGCAATGACAAAAATGTTTACTGCCTATGTTTTCTTCTATGAGTTTTATGGTTTTAGGTCTTACATTTAAGTATTTAATCCATTTGAGTTTATTCTTCCATATGGTGTAAGAAAGACGTCCTTCCTTCCTTTCTTTCTTTTTTTGCATGTATTTATCCAGTTTTCCCTGTACCATTTATTGAAGAGACTGTCTTTACCCCATTGTATATTCTTGCCTCCTTTGTCATGGATTAGTTGACCACACACACATGGGTTTATTTCCAGGACCTCTATTTCATTCCACTGATCTATGTGTCTCTCTTTATACCAATAATAATGCCATTTTTATTATGATGGCCTTGTAGTATAATTTGATGTCAGGTAGCATATTACCTCCAACTTTGTTATTCTTTCTCAATGTTGCTTTCGCTATCCCAGGTCTTTCTGGTTCCACATAAGTCTTAGGGTTACTTTTTCTAGTTCTATGGAAAGGGCTATTGGTATTTTGAGAGGGATTGCCTTGAATCTATAGATTGCTTTGGGTAGTGTGGACATTTTAACAATGGTAATTCTTCCTATCCATGAGCATAGTATGTGCTTCCAGTTATTTGTATCTTCTTGAATTTCTTTCTTCTATGTCTTAGGCCCTGATACCCTGGGCTAGGGAGTCCAGTGTAAGGCTGGGACCACTGCTCCTAAGGGGAGACCTGCACAGCTGAGATATCCCTCCCAGTTCTTAACTGCCACACCCAGGTGCGGACCTGCCTGTTCCACATCTCCACCCTTCCCACCAGTCTCAACATGGCTTCTTTTAGATATCCTTAGTTACGGAAATTCTTTCCAGCTAGTTTTCAAGTGGTTCTCAAGGATGGCTGTTCTAGAATTCAGCTGTCATTCTTGTGGCCATGTGAGAAGGTGAGCACAGTTTTCCAGAAGGCACTCGAGACTTCTTCTTAAATCAGATCCTTTAAAAGGTTAGTTGTCGCTTGTTCATAAATAACTGGAAAATATTCTCAATTACTAAGTCAACTGAAAATAGATACACACCTTTCTAAATGTATACATTAATATATTAAGCACCAAAATGATATTAAAATTAGTTGCCTGGATTAGCAAAGAAAGATTTCAGATGAAAAATATTTAATGTGTCACATCTATATCCTTCTAGAAGATAGAACAGACACCATTTCCTTGATTCCTAAAATTTAAATAGCTATCAAAATTAAACTATTATTAAATTTCTTAAGTAGATACTTTAAAAATAAACCTTAATAAGAGGTGAAATAGATAATACCTCCATCCAAGTAAGGGCAGGTCCACAGTTGATCTTGTTGCCAGCGATAGCTGAAAGGCGGGACAGGTAAGCCATAAGCATCTGAGTGACGGACTGAAAGGAAAGAGAAGATTCAGTGGTAACTCAGATACTACTCTCTGTCAGAGGAACTGTTGCAAATTGGTTGTTTTGAGGGAAAAGGCAACTCTACAGATTTCTTGGCATTTCCATAGTTACAGAGGATTCTTCCCAGAGAAACAGTTCCATGAATTGGAACTACAGGCACATACATAGTAATTCCCTATATTGCACAGAACTTTGGCTTTTAACGCCTCATCATCAGGGGACAGACTATTTGATAGCTTCTAATTTTATTGCTTTTTCTTTCTACTTTTGTGTTGAAAATGTAAACGATGATAGCAGAGACAGACAAGGCTCCTGCCCAGCTTCTCCCAGCTACTCTGAAGCTCTTTCTCTGTAATATCCCAGCTACGGCAGGACAGGCATGTTCATACATGGTCCTACACCGAGGGCCAGCCGATTGGTCCAGGAATGTGACACCACACGAACAGGCCTAGCAGGAGTGACTGTAGGAATCAGGAATTTAGGATACAAAATTTCAGCTCAGTCTGAAACAGTTCCATGAATTGGAACTACAGGCACATACATAGTAATTCCCTATATTGCACAGAACTTTGGCTTTTAACGCCTCATCATCAGGGGACAGACTATTTGATAGCTTCTAATTTTATTGCTTTTTCTTTCTACTTTTGTGTTGAAAATGTAAACGATGATAGCAGAGACAGACTAGGCTCCTGCCCAGCTTCTCCCAGCTACTCTGAAACTCTTTCTCTGTAATATCCCAGCTACGGCAGGACAGCCATGTTCATACATGGTCCTACACCGAGGGCCAACCGATTGGTCCAGGAATGTGACACCACACAAACAGGCCTAGCAGGAGTGACTGTAGGAATCAGGAATTAGGATACAAAATTTCAGCTCAGTCTGGCTGCTGTCTTAACTTAGACAAAAACCTGGGACCCAGTGGTGGTAACCATGTTCTGAGACAGTATGAGAGAGAACAATGTAGCACACAGACAGAGATGGGAATGGGGATGGAGAGACGCGTAGGTTTACTATGACACGAAGGAACCGGTGGCTCTAAGATGTTCCCAAGGCTCTGCTGTAGGGCCAGTTCCCACATGACTGATGATGTTGCTACCTTACCTCCATCCTTAACACGTGAAGCGCCCTGTCAGTCACCGGTGGCTGACACTACACTCTCCGCCCCGAAGACAAAACAGGCTGGGCGCTTCACGTGTTAACTGCCTTGGAATTAATTACGGAATTGAAATGGCTTCCCCCCAGGACTTGGATGAGGTTGGTACTGTTTCCAAGCATCCACTGCAGCCGCTGAGGAGTCCAATGCTGATCCAATTCTTGTTCTTTTGAGAACATCTGTGTTTTGCTTTCTAGGAGCTTTTCTGGTTTTCTCTTTGTTTTGGCATTTTCCAGTTTCACTACATGTTTCTAGAAGTGTGTCTTTCCCCCCATTATAGCAGCACTTAATGGGACCATTTAATCTGAAAACATGCCTTTTTTAGCTTTAGGGGATTTTCTTTTATTAATTTTTAGTTACTCCCGATGAGAGGGAAGTAGGGAGTTCTCCATCTATTCTCCATGTCTTCCGACTATTCTCTTACGTTTTATTCCTTTTGGGCTGTGTTCTCATAAAGTTTGATCTGTCAGCTCACTAATTCTCTCTTCATCTGTGTCAATGTTGTGTGTAGTTCAGCTATTCAGGTCTGTTATTACTAAAATTAATTTTAATGACTATATGTTCATTTCTAAGTTCTCTATTTTATTTTTATAAAATTCTTCTCTCATTCCATGAATGTGATTGCTTCCCTTTCTCTCTGAGTGTAATAATCATGCTCCTCAGAGCCCTCTGTTTGCCCCTCTCAGTTATTTTGTTTAAGTCATGCACCTCTTAACTGATGGGGACATGTTCTGAGAAACGCATCCTTAGGCGATTTCATCATAGAGTGCACTTTACACAAACCTAGACGGTACAGCCTATGGCTCCTAGGCTACAAACCTGCAAAGCATGCTATGTACAAAACAACATGAGATTAAATCAAGCCCAAGAGAAAATGATGCAATCAAGAGACACAATAAATACGAGAGGAGTGAGGCTGCTGCCGGATGACACGGCATACTGTTTTATAGCAAACTTTTCTTTTAAGTAAAAAGAGTTCACTATAAAACAACAATAAAAAGCATATTATGATAAACACATAAACCAGCAACATGTTTATCATTAAGTATTATGTACTGTACATAATTATACGTGCTATACTTTTACTTTTATTTTTTTTTTATGTCTTTTTATTGATTTCAGAAAGAGGAAGGGAGAGGGAGAAAGACAGTAATATTAATGATGAGAGAGAATCATTGATCGTCTGCCTCCTGCACACCCCCTACTGGGGATCAAGCCTACAACCCCGGCATGTGCCCTGACCAAGAATCGAACTGTGACCTGCCAGCTGGGCATGTAGGTGCTATACTTTTATGTGACGGGCAGCACAGGTGTGTTCACACCTGTATCGCCACAAACATTTGAGTAATGCATTGCACTCTGATGTTATGACAGCTATGTCGCTAGGCCATAGAAAATTTCAGCTCCATTATAATCTTATGGGACCTCTGTCACATATGCTGTCCATTGTTGACCAACTGTTATCATGCAGCTCATAATGTAACACCATTTTTACCTATAAGATTTCTAGTTTATCTGTCTTCTTGTCCATGTATTTTATGCTATATTTTTTGCCCTCATAAGTCTTACCCCATGTACTTTCAAACATTCCTCACAATTTTTTATTTCTGATGTCATAAAAAAATCTCTTCCCTTTAAAAATATTTCTTTCACTCTTTTATATTTTCACTAGGAATACTTGGCAGGTGTGCAGGTGGATGCAAAGACATAGCCGGCCATCAAAACTAAGCAAACAGGATTGTTTGAATATGCATTTATTTGATTATTGCTGAAGTCAATTTCTTTCCATATTTTTGCTTCCATATTTTATATTCTCTTTGGAGAATGGTCTACTCATTTATACAGTACAATCTGAGGTTTTTTGTTTGTTTGTTTGTTATAAGTACATTGAATCTACTTTACTAAACTTCTTACCCAACATTGCTAATTTTTCATTCGTGAAACAATTAAATAATCCCAGAAATCATCCTGAGTGTTCAATCTAAGCTTTTATTTAGTATACAAGCAAAAATGTCTGCTAATTTAGGTGGAGTAATTACCTCTGGACTGTCCTTCAGGGCATCGGAACGGGGAAGCTCTGAGAGCTGGGAGAACCTTCGGTCATAAATACAGAGATGAAGATGCTTGTCAAGTACTCGAAAATCTTCGTAACTTCTTTTAACAATCCAACTTTTGCCCTATGGGTAAGAAAAAAAGGCTTCTATAATTAGTCTCTATTATGAACCAAACCTTATTCTAAAATGGTATTTCATTCAGAGGATTTTAAGTTTAATAATGGAAAGCTTCTATTAACTTGATAATAAGTAGTTAAACTCCAAAACAATGTAGTGAGTTACATGACAAGATCAAGAATAAGGCCAAGCTGTTCCCTTTTACCAATGCTTTTCAACACTGTACTGTAATTACTAGCTAATGCAGTAAGGCAAGAAAATAAAAGATACAAATTGGGAAGGAAAAAAATAAAACTGCCTTTGTACACATTATGGCATGATTGTCTAGGTAAAATATGCAAAACAAAATTGACAAAAGAACTCCCGAAATATGTGATTATAGTAAAACAGTAAAATTCAAGGATAATATACAAAAGCCAATTGCTTTCATATATACCAGCAATGAGTAAGTGGAATTTTAAATTAAAAACACAATACCGTTTACATAAGCATCCCCCTCAAATGAAATACTTAGGTATAAATCCAACAGAAAGTGTCCAATATAAGATCTATCTGAGGACAACTTCAAACCTCTAGTGAAAGAAATAAAAGATAAATAAATGGAGAGATAGACCATTTTCATGGATAGAAAGACTCAATAATGTCAAGTTATCAGTTCTTCACAACTTGATCTATACATTCACAATGCTATCGCAATCAAAACCCCAGCAAGTTATTTTTGTGGATGTTGACAAACTGATTTTAAATTTTATCTGAAGAGGCAAAAGACCAGAATAGCTAACAGGATGTTGAAGCAAAGCTAGAGGACTGACACTATCCTACTTCAGGATTTTCTGTAAAGTGTGATATTGACAAAGGAACAGACAAACACAATGGAACAAAATAGGCAGCCCAGAAACAGACCCACCTAAACATAGTCAACTGATCTTTGACAAAGGAGCAAGGTAATACAATGGAGAAAAGACAGTCTTTTAAACAAATGGTGCTTCAACAATTGGACATCCTATCACAAATGAATATAGACATAGACTTGACACCTATCACAAAAACTAACTCAAAATGGATCACAGACCTTAGTGAAAAAGGCAAAACAATAAAACTCGTGGAAGGTAACATAGAAGAAAATATAGATGATCTTGGGTTTGGTGATGACTCTTCAGATATAATATCAAAGGCACAAGCCATAAAAAAAAAAAGAATTGATAAGCTAGACCTCACTGGAATTAGTATTTCCCACTCTGTCAAAGGCACTGTCAAAAAAAAAATAATAAAAAGACAAGCCACAGATTTGGAGAAAATATTCACAAAAGACATACCCGGTAAGTATCCAAAATATTGAAAGAACTCTTAAAAATCAAAGATAAGAAAACAAACAACTGATTCAAAAATGAGTCAAAGACCTTACCAGACATTTCACCAAAAAGATAAACAAGTGACAAATAAGCATATGAAGAGTTGCTCCGCACCACATGTCATCAGAGAAATGCAGATGAAAACAAGGACACACCACTGTACACGTATCGGAATGACAAAAATCCAGAGCACTGATAACGCCGAAGCCGGCCAGGATGTGAAGCAACAGGGACTTTCTTCCATTGCTGAAATGGCATAGCCACTTTGGAAGACAGTTTGTCATTTTCTTACAAAATGAAACATATTCTCATCATCAGGTCCGACAACTGCACTCCTTGGTGTTTACCTAAATGAGCTGAAAAGTTATGTCCTGTCCACACAAAAACCTGCGAATGAGTATTTATAGCAGCTTTAGTTATAATTGCCAAAACTTGGAAGCGATGGTCAGCTGGTGAAGGGATAAATAAACTGTGGTACATCCAGACAATGGGATGTTATTCAGCAATAAAAAGAAGTAAGCTATGAAGCTATGAAAAAAAACACATAAAGGAAACTTAAAATGCATATTACTAAGCAAAAGAAGCCAACCCGAAAAAGCTACATTTTGTATGATCCCAACCATTGGACACTCTGGAAAAGTCAAAACTATGGAGACAATAAAAGGATCAGTGGTTACCAGGAGTTCCTGGGAAGTGAGAGATGAACAGGCGGAGCACAGATGATTGTTAGGGGAGAGAAACTATTGTGTGTGACACTATAAGGGTGGATCCATGTCATTATAAATGGATGCAAACCCACAGGATGTACAGCACCCTGAGTGAGCTCTTGATGACAATGGTATGTCAATGTAGGTTCATCGGTTGTAACAAATGTACCATGTTGGCAGGGAATGTCCATAGTGGAGGAGGCTGTGCATACGTGGAAACAAGGGGTATAAGGGAAACCTGTACTTTCCACTCACTTTTGCTGGGAACCTAAAACGGCTCCACAAAATAAAGTTCATTAACTTTAAAAGGTAATCCTGTTCTCTGTCATCTAAGCAGTCTTGTTCACAGAAATAAATATCAACAATCAACCACATGAATGCAGTAACCTTCACAGTCTCAACAAGTAAATGATGGAGATTGGGGTTGGGTAGAGGAGGGCAAAGAGTGGGAAATGGGATACAGCTATATACTGTCAAACATTTAAAAAGTAAAAACTGGGAAGGAACTAGACCCAGCAAGTGCTCAATGGGAAGAGTTAGGGGCTGATGGAAGCTCAATGCCCTGGGCAGGAAGAAAGTAGTGTCTCCTGGGAACTGGCTGAAGCTCATGAGACCCAGCAGAGGAGAGAAGGCTGTCAAGACACGATGGAGAAGAGACAGGCAAGTCCAAGGGTGCAAGGTCCTCCCAGACCTTGCTAAGCAGTGGTTTCAGTTTCTAAATACAGTGAAAACCGATTGTAGCGCTTTAATCACTGAAGGAACACATTTCAATGTACACTTTACATCATTTTGGCGGTTTCGAGGATTATATTCGATTCCAGGGCACAAACACGCATGCTATCACAATGGCTCAGCAAGAGGGAGTGGCTTGTGCTGGCTTGGTAATATCAGAGAGAGAGAGAGAGAGAGAGAGAGAGAGAGAGAGAGATCTGCTGTTCTTTCTGAGAGGCACCGTCTTCACCCACGTCCTGGGAAGTCTCTTTATCATGGGAAATTTATCTGGGGAAAAACTGTGCTATGAATCACATCTTCCACTGTATGATGAAGTTCAGGGCGACGAGAGAGACCTGCTTTAAATCTCAGCCTGGCCGTGTCCTGGCTACAGGACGTCACACAAGTTACCTAACACCTGTGAGCAGCAGCTTACTCATCTCATCGGGAGCCTGGGAACAGCACCACCTACACGGCACAGAAGAGGTGTGAGGTTTAAATCAGGAGGTTTGCATCAGCCTGTACATTGTGTGAATACAGATGCTCTGCAAATGTCCACATGCAAACCCCGCCTCCTTAGGAACCGCATTTTCTAAATGGACTGAGTGGAGGAAATATTTAATACCGAGGAATACATTTCTAATGGTGGAATTTCAAGCATCAACATACAGGAGATATTTTGAGGTAGGAAAGCATTCCCCTAAAACCAACTGTTTACCTCAACAACTAGGGCATAACGAAGCCTTCGTATTACTGTAAACATTTATGAAAAATTTGATCTTCAGAAAAATAAACTATTATATTGATGAATTCTGGTTAAAATACAGAGGTAGTTAATACAATCCAGCTTCAGCATGAAACATTAATTTCAACCATAAGGCTAAGAGACAATAAAATACACAGTATTTTATGAAGCAACAATTATTCTTACAGTAACAAAACTACTTACAGAAGGGAAAGATCAGAACAGGATTTTCATTAGAGCACACGTTAGGATAAATTCTTGCAACAGCTAGGTTTAAAATTGCCATTTTAATATTAACCTTTAAAAGCTGATGTTTGCTTATTTGCCAAAGAATAAAACAGTAGACTACAGAATGCCTTTAAGACTCACTACCACTAACATTTCACTTATAAATGCTTCATTCTTTGTAGTGGGCTCAATATAATTAGTGGCAGGGTTTATCTAGTTTTGGTCTTTTTTAATTATTATTAAATTTTCAACATTTGGGACAATAAAAGTTTATCTTATATCTACCTTGACATATTCCTGAATTTCCTAAGATTTTTAGAATTTTTCATTGGTTTCAAACTAGAAAAATTGTTTCCTAAAAAGTGAGTAAAATGAAAAGAAAAAATTAGTATGATTTTCAGAAAACAAAACAAAAAAACAACGTTTTTCCATTCAGATAAACATCAGGATACAAACTGGAAAAGCATTGCTTCATCCACATTAGCTAACTTGTTTTTCTACCTAACACTTTATTTCCTTCCAGTTTATTTACTTGGAGAATAGAATAAAAAGATAAGAAAGGAAATACCTGAGCCTATGTTGGTTAAGACAACTTATTCTAAGTAATAATTCGTACAAGAGGGAGGGGAATGAGGGCTCAGGCAAGACATTAAACATCAATTCTTAATCCGTGGTTACCACTCAGCTGAGACACACCAACATGGATAACAGAGGTTGTATGACAGTATCTGCTCTATTGCATGGCCCCTGCCATGCCAGCTGTTAAATAGTTTTACAATCACTCAGCCTATATAGCCTCTTGGCCTGGGACGAAACCCAGTCAGCCTCACCTCTGCTCAGAGGCTCTTCATTTGAAAGTTGCACTTAATGTTCTCTCTGTAAGTGTCTTTATTCATATATGCGTGCTACCCACGCCCTGTCCACTTAAGTCATTCAAGAAAACCTAGATGGCCAGTTTGGGTCCCTTTTATTAATATTTGGGATAGGCTCACAAAGTTCACAGTAGCCACCCAGGTACAAATCAAATTAGGAAATGGTGAAGGAATAGGGGGGGAAACCCACTAGACTGAGGTTTGAATCTTGGTCTTTCTCTTTAAGTAACAATTGTGAGTCTTGTAAAATGGAAACCAGACTGTTAACCTCACAGGTTGTTGTAAGAATTAAATGACAGACTGCATGTCAGAATATCTGATGACTACACATAGGCACCCCAAAATGCCCACTGACTCTGGACCAATTCACTAGACGAGCATAGTTTACATTTCTAGGTTCACAATTTTTTAAAGAAATTAAGACTTTAGAGGGCAGAGGCAAAAGCACGGTTAGAAGGTTCGAAGATAAGACCTAAAGGAAGCAGTTATCACTTAACTTACAGGAAGGGAAAAGATCACTATTTAATTGGCCATCATTTTTAAGATCAAAGAACAAGAGAAGAGAGTGGGTTAAGATGAAGGACCAAGGGTTTTGGTTAAATAAAAAGAATTTCAAGAGCACATTATTAAAATGAGAAATTAGCAAAGATATGAAACGTGCATAAATAGCTTCTGAGATGGATAGATCCCATCAGCGGTGATGAGCTTATCTTACCTGAAGACCACGCAACCCCCCCACGTCTGTTGTTACCAGTGAATTCCAAGGAGATGCAGGAGAAACTGGCAATCAGAGAACTGAAGTCCTTACAGCTCCTGCTAAGATTCCCTACAGCTTAGAAAAGCCACTTCAGGCATTTGGGCCTCAATTTCCTCATTTGCAAAATTAGAGGGTTTGATTGTGAGTCTCTCTTAGTTATTAAAAAAGTAGGATTCTCGTTTAATATGGTTTGTGGCTGAGCTGCATGGCAAGAATACAGGAGGTGAGCCATGGGCAGGCAGCAATGACTACTTACGCCGAGGCAGAGCCGTGTGGTGGCATTATTGCAATGCAGTAAATTACTGCTTTGATGTAATAAACAGCATACCAAGGAGTCTAAAATTTTCTAAGCAGTTTGACAAGATGTTCACTACCAGGAAAACAGCCTACCTATCTAGGTCACCACTCATGGAAGCATAATCAAATAACAATTATACATGCGACTGTATGGTATCAAAATACCACAGATAACTTTTGAAGGTCATTTTTGAAAGCCAGCACAGGTATTACTGACACTGTGTTTTGCTTATGAGAATAAAAAATATTTGCCTTGTCAGAACATGTGGAAATTAATAGTGAGAAAAAAAGATGCTGAAAAGTGCTAGGCTATAGAGGGATTAATGAATTCACTATGACATGTCAACCAGGTACTCTAGATAGAGAAGGTATGTTTTTTTCATAGATACAGATTAGATAGATATAGATATATAGATATAGATATAGATATAGATATAGAGATAACAGAGAGGAAGGGAGAGGGAGAGAGAAAAAAATCAATGATGAGAGAAAATCATTGATCGGCTGCCTCCTGCACACCCCACACTGGGGATCAAGCCTGCAACCGGGCATGTGCCCTGACCAGGAATTGAACCGTGACCTCCTAGTTCATACTTTGATGTTCAACCACTGAGCTACACCAGCCAGGCAGAAGATATGTTTTATATTCGTCTATTAGTAAAGGCTCATCATAAAAGCACTTAATATTCTCACTTAAAAATTAACTCACCAAATAAAAATACAACATGAAACTTAGTGGTTTAGAGCTGCCTACTTCCGAGATGATAGTCAATAAAACATAAAAGAAAAACTCCATTTCCAGCATCATACTCTGACGCCTAAAAGCACTTAAATAAAAAAGCACTTAATTCTGAAAGGCTTTCCTTTAAGGTCACCTAGATTAAGAACTTCAGTATTTCCCATATGAGATAAGCCTTAGACTTTTCAAGGTTATTTAATTTTAACTTCAGGTACATAAATAATACTTTTGGGGGTGGGGGGAAATAAAATAAATGACCCTATCGTACTCTCTCCCAAAGAAAAATAAAAACTTTTTATACAAGAAATTTTTGCTTGAAAACAGGCAGAAGGCTCAATAAACATAGAGTAAATAAACTATATTACCTGATTAGTTGGTAGAGGAAATAATCAATGCTACATGTAACATATTTTTAAATCTCATTAAAAACAAGTCAAAACCAGCACAGTTCTAAAACATGGGCACATTCTACTATTACACCACAGTGGAATTCACCATCCTGGTTAGAAACGTGAGCACCTCAGGCAGAGATGACTTTGTGGGCTCTTAGCATCTTACCATAAACAATAGACTCCCCTCGCTCTTACAAGAAGAATTTCCATTGAAGTTTGTAAATTAAATGTCTAGAAAACGGATTCTTTTAAACTGACTGTTTCAACTCTGAGTACATATAGAAATGCCAAAATGACTAAGAGAAAGAAAACAAAACGTCTGTATTTCCATATTCACTGTTATGCATTCACAGGTGTCGAAAGCCTTAAAAACTTTCTGAAAATGCAGAGAAGATATGCGAGCTGTCATACTAAACTGTGCATTCCACTTGATTCTGTATAAAGACATTTATTCCTCTTTTTTAGAGGATACCATTTATTTTCTTAACAATAGCCATTCATCGTCCAATTCCCTTTCAATATTGTACAAGTATTTTCCTGTGGATTCTATTAGGCAATATGAGAAAAGCGTTACAGAAAGGAACTTAACAATCGCTCAAAACAATCCTCAGTACATTTTATGTGAAACGGAGAACACATTCACAAAATTACCTGACAAGCGATGTGCACGAGGTAGACCAGCTCTTTCGATTCACAGCCGTTTTTCGTTACATCGTTCTGCTCTTCTGAAAGGGAGAGCTGAGGCCAAGAAGAAAGGGCAGAGAGAGGGAGAGCCGTGATTAGTGAACAAGAACAAACGAAGCGTTCAGTAATACTTTCGTTCTCACATCAACGTGATGGAATAAGCTGTGCCTTAGAGTAGAATTCTACTACTTGAAGGCAGATAAAGAATTCAAGATTTTAAAAAAGATGTGATTCTGAGAATTGTAGCTTGTAGCTAAACCAACACGTGCACAACAGCAGCAACTAAAACACATTCGCTCCAGGGCAGGTCTTCATGCCCTTATTTACAGCACAGCGGGAAGGAAGGCTCCAGGGCCACGGAGAGGCAGGTGAGCAGCTGGTTTACCCGGGCTCAGCTCTGCTACAGACACTGCAGGCTGGGGCCCGGAGAACAGCGTGGGCTCCAGATACGTTCCATTGTAGACTCACCGTGCAGGTCTGCACACTGAACTTTATTTTTATTCGAACCACAAAATAGCATTTAGAAACTGGGCGGTTTTATATGAAAAAAAACAAACAAACAATTTCTAGGCTTCTATTGAAACATCAGGAAATCTGAAGTATTGGACCCATATTCTCACATGGGCAACAACTGGCTGGAGCTGAGAGGCGACCGGCCCCTGTGAATGTGGCTCCAAGAGACTTTGCCACCGAATCGATTCCTCTTTATTTTTTCACCAGCATCGAGGCTGAATGTTAACTGTCATCCGTCGTGCTGCTTGCTTTGCTATTTCTTATCCTACTCACGGCGCTCACTCACCTTACCTGCCTGCCCTAACTAGGGATGTGCACTGGCAAATTCTGTGCCAGAGTCAGACAACCCTGAGTTCAAAAGAGTCACTAGCTGGTTGTGCAATATTGATCTCCCTACTTAATCTCTCACCTGGAAAATGGAGATGATGTCACAGTAAATATTCTGAGTATTAAATGAGATAACAGTTAGTAAGTACTCACTGAGGCACCTGGCACTCGGTAATCTCTCACCTGGAAAATGGAGATGATGTCACAGTAACTATTCTCGAGGTTTTGAGTATTAAATGAGATAACAGTTATTAAGTACTCACTGAGGCACCTGGCACTCGGCGAGTACTTAATAAATGTTACCTATTATTACAGTTAAGGTTATCAGAAATATAAGGATAAAAAAAAAGAAATATAAGGATGACGAAGATATGTTCTCTGTTTTTGAAAGCAGTATCACAAAAAGTATTTAAAAAAAAAAACACCGCCTGACCGGTTTGGCTCAGTGGATAGAGCGTCAGCCTGTGGCCTGAAGGGGCCCAGGTTCGATTTCAGTCAAGGCCATGTACCTTGGTTGCAGGCACATCCCCAGTGGGGAGTGTGCAGGAGGCAGCTGATCAATGTTTCTCTCTCATTGATGTTTCTAGCTCTCTATCCCTCTCCCCTCCTCTGTAAAAAATCAATAAAATATTAAAAAATAAAATAAACAAAAACACCTTTATAAGAGATAATCATTCATTCTCACATTAGCCAAAATAAACCAGATGAACTACAAAGTCATAGGGGATTTTTTTGATGGAAAAAAATGATGGGTGAAATGAAACCTGAATGAATGAAGTTGCAGAAAGTGACAAGACTTTCATCAGACCAAGAGGTCCATGGATGTGTTTGGAAGCCTGGAAAAGGCACAGGAGGATCCAGAACCTGCCTCAGCCAGGGTCAGGAGAAACCAGCCAAACCCTGACTGGCTGCATGCGGGCCCGCAGTGATAAAGGACAATGCAAGGAACACCTGGTACCAGCGTCCACGCCCGCCCACCCACTGATTTCCCCAGCTATTCCTTCAAGTGCATGAGGTCAGTCCATAAAGCTATACAGGAACGTAGCGTTATGCCCACAGCTGGGAAAGAATGTCTTAGCTGCAACACGGATAGGGAAAAATAAGAGACTGACTACATCAAAAACTTTACAGTTATCACAAAAGGGACACCATAAACTAAGTGAAAAGATGTGTTACAAACTGGGATAAAAAATATTTGTAATACACATTTGGCAGGTTTTTAAACTATTATACATAAGGAAAAAATGAGATAGGTATATGCCTAACCCAAACATCTTGAAAAGTACCTGGAATTTAAGTAAGGGTCACTATCTGATGAATGACTGAATAAACAAACATGGTCTCACTGGAATGCAATACTCACTTTCAAAACTAAATTCATCATCTTTCTTCACATATTTGCTTCTTCCTCCTTAATTCCCCAAGTAAATCAATAGCATAACATAACTGATAGTGGAGAAGGGCACATAATAAGAATAGAGCCACAGTTGTCTAATAACTATACACCTACTAACTATAGTGAGAAGTTTTCTTACAGGCCCCGGAAAACTGAAGGATGAAACAAGGCTGTAGAAAGATAAGATGCCTCGATGGGTCCATGACTCAGAAAAGAAATACATTTTGAGAACAGACCAAGGACAGGACGTGCTTTGATTTGGTTGCTGTGCCCGGACCCTGACCCCCTCCGGGAGTTTGCCTAGGAACGCTAACTATTCTCAGGTCCCAGGAACGGGCTGAGCTGTTTGTAGCATCATAGAAGATTAGCCACCTTGTTATGGTTCTTTGAGCTCCTGAAGGCCCAACTTCAGACCCTCCCCTCCCCTTTCCATGTTACGCTCACAGCCGCACCTAGCCATCTTCGCCCTCCTGTGTATATAATCAGCCAACTGGCAAGGGGGGTCAGAGCAGAATTTCCAGGGTGACCGACTGCTCTCCCATGCTGCCGGCAGTATTGGAATAAACGCTCATATATGATTCAACCCCGTCTCTGTTTAATTTGGCTCAAGTAGTGACAGGCAGCCTTGGACCCATTGTGTCTGGTTTCATAACCATTCACTGTTAACCAACCTAATCATCCCGGATTTATCTACCTCATATCCTTTCTTTTTATATTCCCAGGGTCAAGATCTGATCTCTACCTTTGATTCCCCAATCTCTCTATTTAGTCTCCCAAAACTTGCCTCTCACACCTCACCTGTTCCTGTTTTCCCCTTCTCCACTGCTTCTCCCCTGGGTCTGGGCCTCACAGTGTCTGGTCTAGGCAATTGCTGGCTGGACATTCACAGTAGTCTTCCCACTGGCCTCTCTCCATTTCCCTCGCACACTGATTATGGTACTTTCTTTTCAAAAATCTCTCAATACTTTCTCAATTCCTACTAAGAAGGTAATTTAAATGCAAAGTCCAGAAGCTTAGATGAGCTTTGAAGAAAGGCACTGCTCCAAATATCTTCGAAACCACGTTTTCCCATAATCCTTCTAACCCATTCATCCCCTCCCCTCCCCTCCCAGGTGCCTTTGTCTAAGCTAATTTTCCTTGTCTAAATGCTCTGCACTTCTGTCTTTGCATATCCCAAATCTATTCAAGCTCCAATAAAGCCTTCCTTGAGTGCCACAGGAAGTAACTTCTCTTGCCTTGGAATGCCTCTACAAGCACTCTCACAATATGTATTACGTTTTTCTTAGGTGTACTGGTATATTGCTTGTTTCCCCTGAGGAAAGAATCTCTTACAAGGTATTCAAGAAAAGCATTCTTGATGAATTGTCTGTTGGTTTTAAGACACCCTATGAACAAGTCAGAACGGCGAGGTTTTATGCAGCACCCACACCACATGTGCCAAGAGCACACATTATGAACAACTGGGCTACATTTGCCTATTGAATGACATGAACGTAATGCTTTACACTATTTTTACTTCCTTCAACGTAACGCTATCTCAGTGCTTTGTCTATAAGGAAGGGAGAACAGAATTGCCAAGTCCCATCCTTCTAGATTCCTTACAAATCTATTTTTGGAGTTATTTTTCCTATACCGAATTCACTTTTCTATCACCATGGTAACCAATCTGCAATTAGTGCTGTTAGGATCTTTAAAAATAAAACTCTATCCAGAAAGCCTTCCAATATTCAGAAAAGTCCTTTCTCTACAGGGAGCATGGACATCAGTTTTGTAAGTCAGGGTAGAAATACATCACCCCACCCACATAAAATACCGGTCATCAAAGCCTAATCAACAGATTTCAAATGGGGTAAAGGGAGACCTTTTATTCATCTTTTATTTAGTTCTAGTACGGCTGCAATTGCACTGTGACATACCTCTGGAGTTCGTACATTTCACCTCTGTAGCCTCTACGAGGTGTGGAAACACGAAAAATATTTCTGTTGCACAATATTATGTGGTCCACGCATGCCCGCCGTCAACACCCTAACACATTAAGAGTGACAATACCACTTTAAAACTCCTGAGTCGAGAATGCCAAGTGGAAGAATATACATTAGAGTTGCCTTTTAGGTGAGTAATAAGTGAACTGAGTTCTAATTTCAGCATATAAGGCAAAAATCAATAACAGACATAACTGCACTTCAAATTCCTTTGGGAAAAGCTAGAGACCTACACGCATCTTCTTAAGCCTCACGGTCCACTTTTCCCTCCAGACTTGGGAGAGAGCACTGTTCCTATGTTGACGACCAGGTTTGCTCACCTCCAGACACTAGAACAGTGATGGCGAACCGATGACACGTGAACTCATTTTTTTGGTTGATTTTTCTTTGTTAAATGGCATTTAAATATATAAAATAAATATCAAAAATATAAGTCTTTGTTTTACTATGGTTGCAAAGATCAAAAAATTTCTATATGTGACACAGCACCAGAGTTAAGTTAGGGTTTTTCAAAATGCTGACACGCCGAGCTCAAAAGGTTCGCCATCACTGCCCTAGAATCCCCCTCAGCTCAGTGAGATGCCCGCAGCATGCAGAACACATGGGAAATGAGCTCGAATGACACCCCGGCAGAATCGCATCTCCTGTCTTACAGATGCTCACTCCAGAACATACACTCGTCAGGAAAAGAGTGCTTCATGGGCATTTTCACATTTCTGTGTGGTCAGGACTTGCTTTGATACCTGGGTTACGACTGAACAGCAAACCTACAAATAGAGCCCTCTGGTCAGAGAAGAGTTTTCTCTCTCCCAGAGCCCTATGCTTACATCCCAGGGTGTTAATGGCTCCTGGCTGTGATGCACACACAGACCCCTCCACTTCCCGGCTGTGATCTTAGGTAAGTTCTTAAACTCTTCCTACCTCGATTTCCTCATCTGAAACTGTCGTGAAGACTCAATCAGACAATATACAAATAGTACTTAGTGTAAATCTGGCTCACAGAAAACATTCAATAAATACTGGCTTGTATTTGATTATCATAATCCTGATAACTTCATTTAAAATGAAAAGTCAGGATTTGTGTTTCACATGATTTTTCCTCAACATTTTCACACTTGGGTCAAACATTACAACCTCTTTCCACATTTCTCAGTATCAAGGCAAGAGTGTATCTGACCCTGGCTGGTTTGGCTCAGTGGATAGAGCGTTGGCCTGCGGACTCGGGGGTCCCGGGTTTGATTCCGGTGAAGGGCATGTACCTTGGTTGCGGTCGCGTCCCCAGTGGGGAGTGTGCAGGGGGCAGCTGATCGATGTTTCTCTCTCATCGATGTTTCTAGCTCTCTATCCCTCTCCCTTCCTCTCTGTAAGAAATCAATAAAATATTTTTAAAAAATTGTTTTTTTAAAAAAGAGTGTATCTGATCACAGAAAACAACAGTAGCATTTCCCAGGGCCTTGCACAGTAACTTTAGCAGCGAATGCTCAAGAAATAGGTATAAATTCATACGTTTCCTAGGCCTTATTTCAGGTAAGACCTGCTCTCTTGGATTCAGGTTAATTTACCTTAATGCTTTATATGAAATCAGATAAAAAGGAAACATTAATTTCAGCTTCAGATGAGCAAATAATAGGAAATGCAAACCACACAAATGTTTTAGTGTCCTCCACACTAGATGGCGGCACCACACCAGCCACAGCAGGAGGAGAGCAAGGCCTCAAATGGGTAAAAGAGAATGAACTGATTACTGATATTTGCATGTTACAAGGGATATTTCCCTTCTTACTGAAAAAACATTTTCTGAAATTTGAATAAATCTTATTTTTTGAACAATGGAGATGATACAACAGAGAGAAGTGCAACAAAGATAATGAATTCACAGAATCTAAAACTATATATGGTTTTACTTAAAACAAGAAGTCCTTTCTAGAAATGATCTTTTTTTTTCCTCTGAGGTTTCAATTTCTCTAAACAAAACATAATACAACGCTATATATCAAAACCTATAGAGTTTGTTCAATGTACTATTCAGGGGAAAATTTTCCAAACTTAAATGCACTGATTAAAAAACAACAGCATAGCCCTGGCCAGTGTGGCTCGTTGGTTGGAGCATCATCCCATGCAACTCAAGGTCGTGGGCTCGATTCCCAGTTGAGGCACATGCCTGGGTTGCAGGTTCAATTCCCCAATTGGAGCAAGTGTAGGAGGCAACCAATCGATGTGCCTCTCTCACATTCATGTCTCTCTCTCTCTCTCTTTCCTTCCTTTCCCTTCCCTCCCACTCTCTCTAAAAACCAATGAAAAAATTATCCTCCTGTGGAGATATTAAAAAAAAAGAGCCACTTATCTGTATTTAAAAAAACACACAATAACATAATATTGTAATAACTAGGGATGGTGTCAGATGGGTACTAGACTTATTGGGGTGATCACTTGTAAGTTATATAAATGTCTAATCACTATGTTTGTATACCTGAAACGAATATGTGCCTGGTTTATTCCTGAAAAAGAGTCGTGAATAACCAACTTAACTCAGCATGTAGGAACCACTTCAAACATACCTGTATGCTGCCAAACTCAACGTTCTCATAGTGGAAGTGTGCGCATTCGGCCATCTTCGGAAAGTGGCCTTTGGTGAAGGGCAACCTGAAGTACATGAGATAAATCAGTGAGATACAAGACACCGAAACAGAGAAGAAATTGCTAAGCATCAAGAGAAAATAAAATGGGTTTAGGAGCTCATGCAAGCAAACTATTTAATATTTATTTAATAAGCACATGCGCATGAGCACACATATACCCACACACACCCTTTCAGAAATACACGGAATCCAATGAAAGTTACATGGACTGCACGGGTCAAAAAACAACAACAAAAATTAAAAAGCATCACTGTACTCTCCTCATCGTGTCCCAAGTCAGTGCCCACAGGAAAACTATGCTGTCGGTGAATGTTATGGAAACTGAGACGAGCCAGCTTCTAGGCAGAAGCAGCATTCCCACCACAGAACACAAAGCCAGGCGTTACCTGTGCATGTTGTCGCAGCCCATCAGTCCTGGGTTGGTGGGTCTGGATGCAGAATGAACATTTTTATCCTTGTCTTTTCTATACCCGCAATGAAAACACAGCTATCTAACCCTCTACCAGCTGACAAGGTGGATTTTCTGCTTAAAACTGAAACAGATACCTAAAGATATTTCACTTGAGAGTCAACTTCTGGCACCCATTCCCTACCCTTGTGAAGGCAAAGCTGAGATAGAGCAATTCTCGTAACTCAAACAACAACCTCGATTTTTCTAAATGGGTGAGAACACCTGCTAAAGGTACTAAGAAGGACATACTTGGCTTTTTCCTGTTGAACAAATGCAGTCTAATAGACAATGACATAAAGATGCAAGAACAAAATTACAGTGTATTTTTAGACCAGAGCTAGTCTTCAAACCTAGCCCACTAACTGCTGAGTCATAAATTAAGGCTTAACAGTATAGTTTAATGTATGGACAGTAACAGCTTATTTAGTAAGAAATCTAAATAAAGGTTTTAACAGAACTAAAGTAAAGAACTCATTTCCATTTATAGGAAGTCATTTCAAAACTGCGGTAAAGTTATACTTACTTTTTCACGTGTTTAACCTTCATACTAGCTGTACTGCCACATGTCTTAAGGCTAAGGTCTCCAGGAATCTCAGGCACATCTGCTCCTCTTGCCTTAAAAATAATAAAGAAAAAAGATTTATGACTATTCCTTTAGTACCCGTATGTTTTAAAAAAGAGGATAGTTCATTTTAATGATTCTATTGACTCTGTACCAAGAGCAATACATACTGATTTAATAATCTCTTCTTAAAATGATAATTTACTGAGTTTTAATTAAGAATAAGAAAAAATATTCACCTAATTTAAATATTTAACTTTACAGTATGAGAAAAAATGTTCTGTTAAGAATTTTCATGCTCTTATACTCAAATTTCAAAATCAGCTATTATGTGTCTCACACATACTTAAACCTCCCCAGGGAGTTGGTGGAATAAAGTAACCTTGGTTACAATGATTAATAAAAGGTAAAATGGTAATGGGAACATAATTAGGAGATGACAACATGCATTTCTCACAACAGAAGTTGAAAGTGACATCTATGTCATACTTCCAAATGTACTCCTTCATCTGACACAGTTTTTATGTGGTGATTTTTTAACTCTAGTCACACATTCAACTACAAGGTTCTTCATACTCTGAACAAAATAAATAGCAAATCCAAAAATCTATAAAAAACATTTATGCTATATTATCCATGATTTGTAACCTTAATTAGTATAGCCAATGCCACCTGATGTAACAGGGGAGAATAATATGGGGTGAGCAGTTAAATTGAGTTAAGAGGAGATTCACAAAGAAGATGTGGTAAATATATGCAACAGAATACTACTCAGCCATAAAAAGAGAAGTCTTGCCATTTGTGACAACATGGTTGGACCTTGAGGGCATTACACTAACTAAGCAAAATACATCAGATAAAGAAAGACAAGCAAGCCCAGGCCAGTAGCTCAGTTGCTTGAGCATCGTCCTTATACTCCCAGGTTACGGGTTTGATCCCAGTCAGGATGCATACAAGAATCAACCAATGATGCAAAAATAAGTGGAACAACAACCTGATATTTCTCTCTTTCCCTTCCTCTCTCTCTCTAAAATCAATACATAAAAATAGAAAGACAAACACCATATGATATCACTTATATGTGGCATCTAAAAATATAGACCAAAAAACAAAAGTTTATAAATACAGAGAAGAGACTGATGCTTGACACTTGACAGAGCAGGGGGGTAGGGAGTGGGTAAAATGGGTGAACAGGGTCAAAATGCACAAACTTCCAGTTATAAAATAAAGAAGCCATGGGGAAGTGACGTACACCCAGGTGACTATAGTTAGCAGTACTGTTCTGCATCTGTGAAAGTTGCAGCTTTACTTGGCCAGGCTGGACATGTGGGAGCACTACTGCTGTGATCAGATGGGATCAGGCCTGAAGCGGGTCTGCCTCGGGCCGGCCTGTAGTGTGTGGGTTCTTGGCTTCGAACAGGGAAGACTTCACAGCACGAGTCCGGGTGATTTTGAGAGTAAGTTTATGAAAGCTGGGACAGTGACACAAGGAAGGACTTAGGACAGAAGAAGCAACAGGAGAGAAACGAAGTGGGGCTGCTTTTCCACAGGTACTCTATCAAGGTCACGGTCTCTACTGACTGGGCGGTGCCTTAGTCACTCACTGCAGCTGGTCCTGGCCTCACCCACCTGGTTTTGCTGATTTTCTGGGCCTGGAGCTGAAATGGAGGCCTAGATGTTATCTCTAGGGAGGAAAGGTCAGGGGGTCTAAACCACACCCAGGGCTTTCGGCCCCGGTGACTTTCCGTATCTGGCTGTAAAGTGTCAGACCAGTTCATTCAGCTGTCTGTCTCAGTTTCCCCGTTCCACTTGCAAGGAATTTTCCTAGCTTTCCACTGTCCTGGCTCTCTATTTTGATGCACACTGCTAAATAATCCTCCAGAAAACATTGATCCCATTTACAACACTACCAACCATGTACATGGATTCCTGTTCTCTCACAACCTCACAAACACTGAATATTATCAATCTTTAACATTGCCATCTAATAAGATTACTTCACCATCTTTTTTTCTAATTAAATAGGTAAAAGATTCAATAAAGTTTCACACTTTTAGTGGGCATCTGTATTATTGTGTGTGTGTGTATATATATACATACTTATTGTTAGATTCTGGTTTTTAGATTTTTCAGAGAAAAGAACATTTTTAAGTGAAAGCTAGTCATATCTGTCTGACATATAAATATCAAGATTTAATAGCTTGCCATTAAAATTAATAACCTGGAAGATCTAGTCTGTACACTTCCTGATTTAAAGACTTACTGTAAAGCAATAGTAATTTAAGTCAGTTGATACTGGACTGGAATAAGGAAGGACAAAGGAAATAAATATAACAGAAAGTCCAGAGAAAGCCCACATATAGACAACAAAACTTAACTTGTGAACAAAAGTAACAATGAAATTCAAAGGAATACTGCTGTGTCAATAAATACGATTGGTGAAGTTTTCTAAAGCATGCAACATAAGAATAAACCTTGAACCTTCACAAAATTCACTCAATGTGAGGATTAATAATGCTGATAAAATTAAATACAGAAGAACAACTTTAACATAAGTAAAAGTGCCTCAAACAGGAAATAAAAAAATATTACCTTTAGGAAAAAATTAAATTTGATTACATCAAGATTTAAAACAAGTCATTTAAAAAGAGCTCCTTATAATATATTAAAAACTAACAACCCAATTTTTTAAATGCCAAAAAATCTAAACAGGTATTTCATAAAAGACAATGCCAAATGGCCAATAATTGTAGATACTCAATGTCATTACTCATCAAAGAAATGGAAAATTAAACCATAATGGAATAATACACACTCTCCAAAGAGCTAAATTTTTTAAAAAATTAAAATACCAAAGTTGGCAACAAAAGATATGGAGCACTAAAACTCTCATTTATTGCTGATTGAAGTGTAAAACAGCAATAACCACTTAGGAAATTTGTTTGATAATTCCTATTATGTTAAACATGAATCTACCTATAATCCTGCAACTACACTCCTGAATATAGACCCAAAAAATATTCCCTATGTACACAAAAAAACATGTACATAAACGTTCATAGCTTTTTTATAATCACCAGAAAATGGTCATTATAAAACAAAAATACCCAAAATACACAAAAACAGGAATAGCTGAATAAACTATAGTGTGTTTATGCAATGGAAGGCTGTGCTTGAAAAAAAAATTATTAACATTAAAAACATGAATAAATGTAGGCATTACTACAGTATGTGACTGTGTGTGTTTGTATTAAAAATTAACAGGAAAAAATGTCAATAGGAATTTTTGTGAAACTTCTCATTCTACATTCGTCTAAAATAGTTATAACTGGGGGGAAAATGAGGAGTGAGAAAAGAATCGTATTTCAAATAACATTTTTAAAAAGACTGTTTTCTTACTTATTTTATAAGTTAACACAGACATCAAAACCACCCAAGAAACTTTCAACACCGGTGAGGACACGATTAAGAAAAGTTGTATAAATGTATAAACCAACTGTTTAAAGCACTAAAGTTCCACCATACAGAAAAGACATAAGAGGCTATGATCTTTAAAAGAAACAGATTATACAAGGTAAACTCCATACTCAGCCAAACCCCTGATAAAGAGAAAACCTTAATAGCAGCCAAGAGGGGGGAAGTATATACACACATTACACTCACAGGACTACATATGAGAAAAGCAGAAAACGTGGAATGGGTTCTTTCCATTGCTTTTTAAAACAACTGTCAACGTTGAATTCTATATCCAGCAAAATTTATTTCAAAAAAAAAAAAAAAAGAATGAGAGGCTTCTAGTCTCTTCTACTGTTTATAACAAAAACTCTACAGAAAACAAAATGAAATAAAATAAAAACAAGCAACTACCTGAGAATTCTAAAATATGTAATTAGAGTAAGTGGATTGGGGTGTAAAGTCAAGACCTGAAGAATGACTAATCATAGGCTGACAGCGTGTTTCCTGGATTCAAACCCGCTTGCCGCCCCCCCCCCCCTTCCCGCCCTTTACCTCTTGGAATTGCCTAAGGAAAAGCTGGCTCATGATATAAGTAACAAGCATGACTAGTAAAACTCTAAGGAATTACAACTTTCTGACTAGAAAATGGCCCTTGAATATGGAAACAAATAGGCAAGAGCTTTCTTTTCTTTTTTTTGCTTCTCTTCCAAGGACAGACTTGGGAGCAACACTTCAGCTGTACCATGGATACATAAGACCCTGAGTGAAAACCCATCCTTCTGACTAGAGCAGTGATGGCGAACCTTCTGAGCTCCGTGTGTCAGCATTTTGAAAAACCCTAACTTAACTCTGGTGCCGTGTCACATATAGAAATTTTTTGATATTTGCAACCATAGTAAAACAAAGACTTATATTTTTGATATTTATTTTATATATTTAAATGCCATTTAACAAAGAAAAATCAACCAAAAAAATGAGTTCGCGTGTCACCTCTGACACGCGTGTCATAGGTTCGCCGTCACTGGACTAGAAAAACAATCAAAGGGGACCCTGTTGTGCAAAGACTGTAGGGATAATCCTTATTTTTTTCCTCTTTTTTCTCTCACTGCTTAGGCCTGATGGCAGCCCCAGTCAGGAAAAACTGTGCACTACAGAGACTAACACTCCTGGAGAACTCCTTCCTCCCAGCCAGAGAAGCCAGGAAAAGCATCCTTTGAGAGGAGACAGTGGGTACCAAATCGAAACTGAACTGATGCTAAAACCACCACCTAAACAAGTCCAGATAGAAACGTCAACCTAAACCCCACCAGGTTAATGCCTGATAAGCCAGGAAAATCAACATTCTCCAGAGGATTTCAACAGGAGACAGTCTCACAACATAATATTCAAAATATCCATGACACAATAAGAAATTACTTGATACACCAAAAATCTGTAAAATATGAGCAATTCCCCAAAAAGAGACAATCAGATACCAAATATGAGATGAAACAAATGTTGGACTTACCAAAGACTTTATATCATATACTAGAGGCCCGGCACGCGAATTCGTGTGGCCCCACCCACCCGCGCGGCCTTGCCACGCTCACAGCCCCAC